GATATATCAAAGCCATCCAAGTATTATTTTGCAGGAGGACCTAACTTGGATATAACTTTACCGTATGACTTTTTTTATCCTTTTTTAAGTAGTTCAACCTGTGTTGAGTCAAGCAGCTTTTTAATTGTAATATGGAGTATGATTTTGCACAATTTATTTTATCGATCTCAATGATTAAAGTACGTACTTTATTCTTAAAATACATATTTATTTGGTATAATATTAAGTGTGACTTTGCACAATTTATTGATCTCAATGATTATCCCTGTTCGTTGTCGAAATATTATTTTGCACAAAAAATAAAATACAAATAATTTTACACTTGTAAATAAAGGAATAAGAAGTACCATAAAATGTGTAAAGTTGCTAATTTATAATATAAATTTAATTTATTTCACTCGTGAGATAATGTGTGTTTAAAATAAATAAATAAGTGCCTTGTGATAACTCGTTTTATTTTCTTTATAATAAAATATTTAGTTAATTTTATTACGTTGCGATAAGGTGTATGTTAAATTTAATTTTATTTAATATGTTAATTTGTAATTAACGCGTAATTCTAAATTAAAACTTTCTCTGTTTTATATTTAAATATACTAGATCGTTAAATAAGTTCTACGAATGACTCGTAGATGATGATAGATACGCTAAATTTATATTTCGCGCCGGTTTTTTTTCATTTCTCGAGAACTAACCATGTCCGTTTTTTAAGAAGAAAAGTTTTTGAGTGGCATTATCGAGATATCGAACGAGATGAAAAATGGATATATCATAACAAACAAGGTTGTTTGGATATGATATATTTCAAAATATAATATCTACGATCGTAAGCTAATTTCGTATGTACAATAAGATGAGAACAATGTTATTTATTATGTACTATTATTATATTTACTATTATCACTGGTAAAACAATCATAGGATACTGTATCAACAAGTGAGGAATATGAAATTAAAGAAGAAACGTTTCTTAGCGATGTAAGTAATTATAAGTAATTACAGTAGTGTGATAATTTTAATTCCTGGATGTTATTATTCATAAAAATTAGAATACTTTCATCTGTTTTGATTAATACATGAAATATAATTTAGAAATACATTACTATGATAAATTATTGTTAAATTATTTGTATTCGAGAAGTTAACATTTTTCCATTGTTGAAATGAAAAGGAGGTAATAGCTAAAAGACCGTCATTTAATTAAGAGAAAATATTGCAAATGTGATATTTTAATAAATATTATCTGATAACAAATCTGCACCGCTTAATTGACGACCTAATAACATTGGTAGAAATATAATATTATTATCCAATAATTTTGTAATATTTCGGAATAATATTAAATGATTGGTGCAAAATTGTATCGAATGCATTTCAAAAGAATCATAGTATAGAGGAAAATTCATTGATATAACGTTGACCAATGAGAGTTGTCTGTTTAAATCGTTCGCCAATCGGAAGTTGCTCGGTTTTCTCTCTAAAATCTTGCCGCTATAAACTTAGTACGAACTCCTGCAGCTGTCGTGATGCACTGTGGGACGTTGGGTTGTGCTTCGCTCCAATACAAGATGGCTGACACTTGTTAGTAGTGTATTTTCATTTTATCGAATGTGCATTTTATAAAAAATTCAGTGCCTTCGTACTCGCGTAGGGTGCGTGTATGTTTGTACAAGTAGTATAGAAGTGGTCTTTCTTTTTTTACCACGTAGTTTTCTTATCATGTATTATCAGGAGACGTCAAAATGTGTCGTGAAAGTGCCAGGGGCAGAATAATTATCCGTCACCAGCCATATTCATATGTGTTCTTTTGTTATGACAATTGTGATATAATTCTTCTGGAATATAGTGCCAAGGTGAAGTGATATCTCGCTTTGTTGCGCTTTTACTCCGTTACTGGTGTTTCGTACAAGATTCGTTCCGCTACGAAATAGATTAAATGAAAGGTATGTATGCATTTACTCTATCTTCGGTGTGCCTATTCACGAGGCACTCTTGAAACCTTATATCCGTGTATTTTCTCTTTTTTCGATTGTCCTTTTTCTTTTAGTTCCTTGTGCTTATAAAGTACGAGAGTCGACTGACCTGTTAACCTGTTATATCGATTAATGTGATGTCGTGTACAGTTTCTTAATTTTTCGCTGACATATTCTTTTAATTTTAGTTACTGTCGTTGTTTCACAGGTTCTCAGAACCGAACAATTTCTAATAGACGATAGACCCCTAACGGGCTTCGACAATAAGCTGTAATGAGCGATTAAAGTAAACTCTCGGTTTTTAACATCGGTTTAATGTAGTTCTTATTCGGGTAAATTCAATTGTTTACAATACTTCAGCGCAAAAGTCTTGTAGTTCAGGGACGAGAATAAGCAAACTAAACATGGCAGTAACATTGGTAATGAAATTTAATGATAACATATTAGAAGAAAAACACTTTGGTTTAATTCCATTTCTCATGAAACTTCGTTTGTTTTACTTTCAGCGTGATTTTTAAAAGGAGCGAACGCGAGAAACATTTTTAAACAGTCTTGTAATGATCTATATAATTTTAATATTTTATTTATAATATATAGAACGGTATGTTAATATTAAATATTCATATGGTCTTAAGAAATAAATATCAAATTTTTCTAAATATAATAAAAATAATAAAATTTATTATAAATTAGATATTTATTACATTACGTACATATTTATCAATTATTCGTTGCGAAAAAAGTTGTGTGATAAATTGATA